AAAAAAAAAAAAAAAAAAATGTCCATAACATAATTTGTTAAAATATTCAGTGTTCCCACTTGCAAAATTGATGTTATTTTAAGGGAAAATTGTGTCATTTATGTGGGTATGTATAACAGTTAGTATTCCTTGATCATATGTTCACAAATAGGACACGTCATTTTTTAAAGAACTTCTTTCTTTTAAATAGTGGAAGTAAAAACAAAGCTAATATGTCCTATTTGGACAAGTGTGTGTGTGTGTGTGTGTGTGTGTGAGAGAGAGAGAGAGAGACAGAGAGAGAGAGAGACAGAGAGACAGAGAGAGAGAGAGAGAGAGAGAGAGAGAGAGAGAGAGACACTGACCAGCAGAGGGAGCCAGAAGCTAAGTACTACTGCACTACTTCTAAAGCATTGATATTTTTAGTAATGCTTAGATGTTTGGTTTCAGTGCTTAATCTTAAAATTCAAAAACCTAGGTGTAAACCTCCATTAAAACACTAATTTCATTATTATTTTAAGCTATCTAAAAGGTAAAAGTTCTTTTATGTACTAGTCTTTTGTGTTATGTAAGGTTCCATGAAATGCAGGTTGCTTATTCAAGCTTTGAAATATATACATATTTAAGTAATCTCTCTGCCCAAAGTGGGGCTTGAACTCATGACCTGGAGAGTAAGAGTTGCACCCTCTACTGACTGAGTCAGCCAGACACCTCTGAAGTAGATATGTTTTTATCTTCTTCTGTTTTGAATATTTTTTCTTATGACAAAATAAATACTAAAAAATTTGGCAAGTTTTCATAATTCATAGTTTACAATGAATTTTCTTTTCGAGGGAACTTTTTTTTAATGTTTTTTTTTAATGTTTATTTTTGAGAGACAGAGCATGAGGGGGGGAGGGGTAGAGAGAGAGGGAGACACAGAATCCAAAGCAGGTTCCAGGCTCTGAGCCATCAGCACAGAGCCCGAAGTGAGACTCAAACCCACAGTGAGATCATGACCTGAGCTGAAGTCGGACACTTAACCGACTGAGCCCCCCAGGCGTCCCTCGAGGAAACTTTTTATTTCCTGGGGTTAGAGACTTTGAGGAATCTAAAGAGACTGGTCTGCTTTTTCAGAGAAGACTCAGTATTGAAAAGAATTCAAAGGAAACGTCATGATTTTCTATCAAAAGCAAACACCACAAAACTGAAATAGAAACAAAAAAGGGACCCTTGCCATCTTTTACTGCTTCCAACTCTAAAGAATCACACATAGTTCCATGAAAATCCAGCACCTTGGAGGAGAAGGGAGGCCTGTCCAGAGATCTAAATATAGTCACTAAATACAGTCTGCCCCATGACAGTCCTGGGGCATGTCTTACCAGCACCTCTGCCCGGATCAACTTAGAGGCCAATTTCTTAGGGCGCCTTAATGTTGAAAATGTACAGACTTAAAAGAAGTAGCTTCGTTTACTGTGTCTCCGTGTGCCCGTCCACCAGCTGGCTGGTCCGATATCATTGCTGCTCCCACCCTCGTCTCCCTTTTGCATTATTGAGAAGCGGACACTAAATATCATATCCTTTATATGTAAATGTATTCATTTATCTCTAAGAGATAAGGGCTCTTTTTTTCTTTTTTTTATAAAAAAATTTTTTTTGACATTTATTTGTTATTGAGAGACAGCATGAGCAGGGGAAGGGCAGAGAGAGAGAGAGAGGGAGACACAGAATCCGAAGCAGGCTCCAGCTTCTGAGCGGTCAGCACAGAGCCCGACTCGGGGCTGGAACTCACAAGCCACGAGATCATGACCTGAGCCGAAGTCGGACGCTCACCCAGCTGAGCCACCCAGGTGCCCCGTTGTTTTGTTTTTTTTTAAAGAAACACAACTAAGTTGCGTGAGCTCAGTTGGGTGACCGACCAACTTCGGCTCAAGTCGTGATCTAACGGTTTGTGAGTTCGAGCCCCGTGTCAGGCTCACTGCTGTCAGAGCAGAGTCCACTTTGGATCCCCTGTCCCTCTCTCTCTCTCTGCCCCCTCCCCCTCTCGCACGCACGCACATGCTCTCTTTCTTTCAAAAATAACGCACGCACGCACATGCTCTCTCTCTTTCAAAAATAAACATTAAAAAAATAATAATTAAAAGACAGAAAAAGAGGGGCGCCTGGGCTGCTCGGTCAGTGAAGTGTCCGACATCCGCTCAGGCCATGATCTCACGGTTTGTGGGTTTGAGCCCCGCATCACACCCTGTGCTGACAGCCCGGAGCCTGCTTGAGATTCTCTCTGCGCTTTGTCCTTGCGTGCGCGTGTGTTCTCTCTCTCTCAAAATAAATACACTTTAAGGTCGTCGAATGTTCTTTTTCCCATACGACTTGTTGAAGAAACTACTTTTGTGGGAATTTTTTGTTCTGACAGGACACCCGCACATTTTCTATGTTCCTCTATGTGACGTGGCCGCGGTGACGATCAGTGCCTCGATGTAACCGTTCATTAGCATCGCAGCGTGGCACTGCTCTCGTTCTGTCAGTCCTTTTTTGTTTATTAACTGAAATAGCTTTATAAAGAAAAACTTCCCCTAACCTATTATCCGGTTACCCGATGATCTGGTTTATATGGTTTGTATAGGAAGACAGGGTAAACACAGGATTCTTTCTCTTTGTCTTCCAGCTTATAAAATAATGAGTTTGGTCACTAGCATTCTCCAGTAATGATTAATGGTTTTACGGCATCGGTTTGAACTCCTAAGTTTCAACATATTTGTGCTTCCATCCATTGAAGGGGTTATTCTTATTGGTCCCTGAATTGTCCCATGTTGGGCCAATGAAAGCTTGTTCAGGCTGACTGCTTAGTCCTTTTGACATGTCCTGGTTACAGTGGATTTTTTTTTTAATATTTTGCTGCCAGCCAATCAGATTTATAAAATAAAAATGCCTGTGCTACATTTATTTATTTTGAAATGCCAAAATCTGCTAAAATACCATAGTCGAGAAATTGGTAATTTGATGTCTCTTTTACTTAAATGCCTCTATTTATTCCAAAACATTTCTTTGTCTTTGTCCGTAGACCAAATTATCAAAAATCCTCATGATTAAAAAGGAACATATCAAAAAATTAAGGGAAATGAACACCGAAGCAGAAAAATTGGTAAGGATGTTTCTCTTTTTTGTTTGCTTGTTTAATTTTCAAATGGTGGGGACTTCTGTTATCTGAGGAGGTACAAATTTTTTACAGACGAAAACCTTGAGGTAAATGTTATTGTTAAATCCTCACTTGCTATCTTTATCTCTCGTTGTACTGAACACAGCCGAGCAAATTGTCAGTGCATTGCGGTTCATTACCCCAGACCTCATTATGCCACCGAGTGTCCCGTTGAACGGGATTAATGGGTTTGCTGGGTTCGTTGACAGTTTGCGTGAAGGTAGGCCCCCTAGCGTTGGCACCTCTGACTAAGGAAGTCGTATTAACAGTGGTTATGAAAAGTGATCCGGAATGAATAAAATCCAGAAATACATAAATTGGCATATTCAGATTATCTTCACAGTGTTTATATCCTATTCTGTTCATCTAATCGGTCCAAAAATGTGAGAGTCCCCATTTTATTCATAGGAGAGAATTATCAGAGTTTCTTTAAAAATGTAAAAACTTCGCTAGGAAAGTGTTTGAAGTATACTGGAAGTCATAACTTGCTTATGGATTTATAGGGTGGCAAATAGATTTCATCCCAAGTGCTGTCTCCACGTGATTGCACATGGTCTTGTGGGAATTTGGACGTAACGGCGAGCTCGTGCCCAGCCTGGGCGAGCACTGTAGCTAGTTACCCACCTCTGCAGGAGAGGGAGTCAGCGTCACCCATCCGTCTCTAGTGTGTGCGGGCAAACACATGGACAAGCGATACCCGAGTGAGAGGGGAACAGTCTTCTTTTAGGATGATGGGATTTTTTTTATCTGAACTTGACTTCGAATTTTCTAAGTTGAACCTCCGTTTTATGGAATTGGAAACTGAAGACCAAAGACGTCAAGGGATTTCAGTCTGAGATCATCTGCTGCTTGGTAGTACAAATACTAAAATGGGCTTCTGGGTCCCAGGTTAACTCACTTAGGTGCGATATGACGTTAGTATCGACAGAGACAGGGCTTATCAAAGAGAGCAGAAAATTAACCGTAACATTTTGCCATGACACGTCCTAAACATAAAAATATGTGCACCTGCTTCTTCCCTGCTGGACTCTTAATTCTTAGTCTTGGTTTCCAACAGCTCTACCCCTGCCCTTTTCGCTACGCTCCCCCACTGCACCTCCTCTGATCACTTCGTCATCTCTCCCGTCTTTATGCACAATCAAGTCACTTCACTTCCGTGTCACTAGCTAGGACTTTCCCTGCGTCTGTGCTCCACACCTTGAACTAACTACTGGGCTCGCCTTAGCCTACTTAGTGCTCCCTACTTCGAATGGAGGCCCGATTGGATGTTGGCTTGCTTCTTGGCATGAGAGAACTTTTTAGAAGTCTAGATGGCTTGATATGTTTTATCGTTAGTTTTGTTTGATTTATGGTTAAAAACAGTTCCCATTATAAAAATCCAATTATTGTAAGACTGATGACAAAAACCGTGGTTCTTTTATTAAAAAAATTTTTTTAATGTTTATTTTTGAGATACAAAGAAACAGAGCATGAGAAGGGACAGGGCAGAGAGAGATGGAGACACAGAATCCGAAGCAGGCGCCAGGCTCTGAGCTGTCAGCACAGAGCCCGACTTGGGGCTCGAACTCACAAACTGTGAGATCATATCCTGAGCCGAAGTTGGACACTTAACCAACTGAGCCACCCAAGTGCTCCAAGATGTTATTGTTTTATTCCCCCCCCCCCCAAGATTTTATTGTTTTAAATGATCTCTCCACCCAATGCGGGGTTTGAACATACAACCCCAAGATCAAGAGTTGAATACTCTACCGATGGAGCCAGCCAGGTGCCCCAAATCAGTAGTTATATTTAACATTAATAAAGTTCAAGCCCTGCATCAGGCTCACTGCTGTCAGCGTGGAGCCCACTTCGGGCTCTTTTGAATAAAAGGCAAAGATTGCCAAACTGGATGAAAAATAAAACCCCAAGTCTATGATGAATGGAAGAGACACATTTAATATTAAAGGATCCTGAAAATATAAAGTTTTAAATGTATGAAAAATATACAGGGCAAAGTTTTAAAATAACAGAAGGTCTGACAGCTATATTAATATCTGACAGTAAAATTCAGGGCAACAGATACGGGATATAAAGAAGTTTGCTTCTTGATGAAAAGTTATAATTTCAAGATAATAATTTGAAACTTATATGTACCTGATGATGACTTCCAAGTACATAAAGCAAAAATTGACAAAATTCAAAGGAAAAGATAATCCCACTCTATAGAAGGACAGTTTCCATAGCCCTCTTAGTAACTAATAAAACAAGTAGTCAAAAAATCTACTCAGGAGGGGTTCCTGGCTGACTCGGTTGATAGACCACGTGACTCTTGATTTTGGGTTGTGAGTTCAGGCCCCACGTTGGGCATAGAGCTTACCCTGCATCGGGCTCTCTGCTGTCAGCTTTAAAATATATCTAGTAAGGATATAGATTTTAACAACACAGTTAACAAACTCGATCATGCTGGCATGTATAGAATATTATACCTACCAGCTATAGGGTACCTATTATTTTCAAGTTCACATAGAATATTTACAAAATTTCGGGACTTCTGGGTGGCTCAGTCGGTTAAGCATCCACCTTCGGCTCAGGTCACAGTTCTTTGTGTTCAAGCCCCACGTCGAGCTCTTTGCTGACAGCTCAGAGCCTGGAACCTGCTTCTGATTCTGTGTCTCCTTCTCTCTCTCTGCCCTTCCTCTCCTTGTGCTCTGTCTGTCTCTCTCTCTCTCTCACTCAAAAATAAACATTAAGAAACTTTTAAAAAATCATTAAAACTAAATTCTGTTTCTACTTGCCCAAGTCACTTTATATTTCCATGCCTTCCCTGAACTTTCCCACCATTTAAAGTGAAAAAGTCTTGGGACACCTGGGTGGCTCAGTCAGTCTGACTTCGGTTCAGGTTATGATCTCATAGTTAGTGGGTTCGAGCCCCGCGTCGAGCTTCACTCTGCCAGTGAGGAGCCTGCTTGGGATTCTCTCTCTCACCCTTTCTCTTTGCCCCTCTCCCACTCTTGCTCACTCTCCTGCTCTCAAAATAAATAAATAAACTTTTTTAAATTTTATTTATTTATTTATTTTAAAGTTTATTTATTTTTGACAGAGAGAGAGGCAGAGAATGAGCAGGAGAGAGGCAGAGAGAGATGGAGACACAGACTCGGAAGCAGGCTCCAGGCTCTGAATTGTCAGCACAGAGCCTGACGTGGGGCTCGAACTCACAAACTGCGAGATCGTGACCTGAGCTGAAGTCGGATGCTCAACCGAGCCACCCAGGCGCCCCAATAAACTTTTTTTAAAAAGTTCTTGAAAAAAAGCCCAGAAGCTCGAATTGTTACCAAGAGGGAGATGGGAAAGGAAAGAGGCCTCGGGTCTTTTCTCTGCCACAATGAAGAATTGGAGGACAGCAGAGCGCAGGTAGAGCAGACAAGGTTTTATGAAAGTCCGTTCGTGGGGAGGAGCGCTCCAGTCCGCAGAGCCCACAGCCTGACAGGCCCTGATAATGTAATAATCAGCCGACTCCTCCCGTCCTTTCCCGGGATGTACTCGAGGGGCACCTGGGTGGCTCAGGTTAAGCACCCGACTTCAGCTCAAGTCGTGATCTCCCGGTTCGGGAGTCCGAGCCCCTCATCGGGCCTACTGCTGTGAGCGTGGAGCCCACTTCGGATCCTCTGTCCCGCTCTTTCTGCCCGTCGCCTGCTTGCGCTCTCTCAAAAATAAATTCAAAAAACAAAACCAAACCCAAGAGGTAGGGGACGTGCCTGCATGGAGTAGGAAACCGCATCATTTCTATTCTAGAGGCGCAGGTCAGGTAAGGACAAGCGCTGCTCTCTGCACAAGGGCAAGAAGCTTAACAGACAGCTCTTCCTCTGCTGGGACGTTGTAACCGCACACCGACTCCTAGGTGGCTGCACTGGGGTGCTCCCTGGGCGGCCCTCGGCTGGGGCTCCCTGTCGGGGACGTCTAAGGCCCACCCTCCCGTCGCCCGTGCCTAGCTTCCTGCCTCACAGAATGAACCACATATCCAGAGGCTCCTCCGTTACGTATCCAAGAAAATTTAATATGGATACGATATTAACGACATACCAGAGTTGACAAACTGGCAAAACTCCTTAAACGTTAAAACATTCCTCGAAGGGGTGTCTGGGTGGCCCAGTTGGTTTAGTGTCCGACTTCAGCTCAGGTCATGATCTCACAGTCTGTGGGTTCACGCCCCATGTCTGGGCTCTCTGCTGTCAGTACGGAGCCTGCTTCGGATCCTCTGTCACCCTCTCTCTGCCCCTCCCCTGTTCTCGTGCTTGCTCGCTCGCTCGCTCTCTCTCTCAAAAAAAAATTAAAAGAAATTAAAAAAAAAGAACATTACTCAAACACCCAGGAAGTCTGATGATGTCCAAAGAAAATATGGCACTTCCATGGGCATAAAAAGATGAAGCAGACAGTGACTGATTTTAGGGGATCTCCAAGTGGTAACAGATCGACAGTCTACTCACGTTAATATCTTGATTGAGTCTCACAATGCAAAACTCTCAAAACATTTAGTAAAATCATTCCAACTGGTAAACATAACCTGGGCATTGGTAATAATATGTTTCAAACACACTCACTCGGGATTCCCGGCTGGCCCGGTCTGTGGAGCATTCGGCTCTTGATCCCAGAGTCGTGAGTTTGAGCCCCACGTTGGGCATAGAGATTACTTAAAAATAAAATCTTCAAAAATAAATAAAACGTATTCACTCATTATGTTAATGTTACAAAAGCACTAGCATTTAAACATAAACCTGGCATTCAGGTTCATGGGATGAGATCAAGGCACGACGTATCAGATTACTGTAGAATGATACGTTTCCCGAGGAAGGAAAAGCCTAAATCACGTGTTTACTTAGAGAATCGAACCTTAAATTGTTTAGGGGCGCTTGGGTGGCTCTGTCGGTTAAGCATCCGACTTCGGCTCGGGTCATGATCTTGCAATTCAT